CCATCATCATCATCATCATCATCATCATCAGTTACATCAACATCATCAACATCATCATCAGCGGGACACCATCATCATCACCACCATCATCATCATCATCATCATCATCATCATCATCAAAATCGTCAACATCATCATCTTCACCATCATCATCATCATCATCATCATCATCATCGTCATCATAATCATCAACATCATCATCATCATCAATCATCGGGTCACCATCATCATCATCATCACCATCATCATCACCATCATCATAATCACCATCAACATCATCGACATCATCATCATCAACATCATCATCATCATCATCATCATCATCATCATCATCATCATCATCATCATCATCGGGACACCGACGGGACACCGGCGGGACACCGGCGGGACACCGCGCGGCACCGGCCCCCAGAAAGGAAATATTTGGTCGGGCCTCGCCTCAGCCGGAGGCGGGACACCGGCGGGACACCGCGCAGCACCGGCCCCCGGAGAGGAGTCATTTGGTCCAGCCGCGCCTCAGCTGGAGGAGACTTTCTTCTCGCCCGCCCACGCAGCTCCTCCTCGCCCGCACGCACGGCACGCACGAGCACGAAACCGAAACCGATTTCCCGGTAGGGGGGCTCTCCGTTCCACTTCGATCTCACCCCCTCACCTCCGATAGCCCTATAACCCCATAGCCCTATATCCATATAGCTTTATAGTCTTATAGCTCTATATGCCTGTAACCCTCTAGCCCTATAGCCCCATGGCCCTATATTCCTATAGCCCTATAGCCCTATGGCCCCATAGCCCCATCGCCCCATAGCCCTACAGACTCATAGCCCTATGGCCCTATAGCCCTATAGCCCCATAGCCCCATCGGCCCTATAGCCCTATAGCCCTATAGCCCTACAGCCCCATATCCCTATGGCCCTATAGCCCTATAGCGCTATAGCCCTACAGACCTATAGCCCTATGGCCCTTTAGCCCGATAGTCCCATAGCCCTATGGCCCCATATCCCCATAGCCCTGTAGCCCTAAAAAGACTTTTCTTCAGTGGCGCTTCGCGCCATGCACCTTGGTCATTCGATTTTCTTCCTCCATGCTTCTTTTTCTTCATTCTTGCCATACCCTGCGCAGTCTCCCCATGCTCATCAGCTCTTTTTGCGGAGACTCCTCCTTGGAGAGCCTCTGGGGGCCTCACAGCAGTTTTCAAGCTTTCTTAAGGCCTTCTGGAGGCCTCCTGGGTGTTTTCTGGGGGCCTCAGGGGGCTTCCTCGGGCCACCCTGCCTCCAACCGCGGCCTCCCTCAGCGACGGGGTCACGATTTGGAATACTTCGGAGGGCGTCTTGGGGCCTTCTTGGGCTGCCATTGGGCTCTCTTAGGGCCCTCTTGACCCGTGTTGTTCCGTTGTGGGGCTCTCTTGGACTGCCTGGAAGCCCTTTCGGATGGTTGTGGGGCAGTTTTGGAACCTCCCAGGCGGCTTCGGGCGCCCAGAAGACCGCGTCATGGATCGTCGGGAAGCCGAAAAGAAGAGAATCCCTCAATTCACCAAAAACTGGAAAATCGAAGATTTTTGCCTTTTGGGGCCTTCTTGGGGGTGCTCTTGGAGGCCTCTTGAGACATTTTGGCGCGATCTTTGGGGGTATGACGGCTTCTTGGGGGTCGTCGTGGACCATATTGGGGCTTTCTGAGGTCGTTTCGGGAGCGCGCCAGAACGCCTGGAACCCGTCTGCCCGTCTGGGGCCGTCTTCGGGCTCTCGTGAGGTTCTCCCGGGTCGTCTGACGGGTTGCCCAGAGGCCCAGGGAGAGCCAAATTCGTTATGTGTGTGTATGCTTTTTCCAGCGTCCCTGGCCTGATACAATTATATGATATATATATATATATATATATATATATATAGACAGATGTAAGCATATACATATAAATATATATTTATTCAGTTTTATTTTTTTATTTATGTTTCTATGTATTCATTTTTTTACTTATTTATTTATCTATTTATCTATTTATTTATTTATTCATTTATGTATTTAGTTATGTATGTATTTTTTTTTTATTTATGTATTTATTTATTTATTTATTCATTTATTTATATATATTTATTTATTTATTTATGTATTTATGTATTTATTTATTTATTTATTTATATATATATATGCATTGTTTTATATATACACACAAGACTGCATTGGCGCTTCGCGCCATGCACCTTGTTCCTTGTGAGTTCGAATGCAGGCGGCGTGCGCGCGCGCGTGGACGTGGGGCCGGCCACCGCCAAGTCGGAGTGGGTCAGGATCTCCTAAGCGGGAGCGACTTTACAACGCCAGCTCTGGCCAGCTCAGGGCGTTTCTGTGCCCAGGGGCGCGAGTAAGTCTCAGGCGACTGGTTGGTGTAGCATGAAGCAGGGCATCCTCCTCCTCTTGCTCTTCCGCCGCATTTTCCTCCCCCTTCTGTCTCCTCTTCATCTTCATCCTCTTTCTGCTCTTCCCTCCTTTTCCTCATCCCGCTTCCTAGGCTGGCGCAGCTGGGCCCCGAGAGAGAGGCCCAAGGACGGACGAATTTAGGAAAGTCATTGGAAAAACAAGGTTTTTGGTCTTCTCGCCTTGTCGCTGCCGATTGGCGTTTGAGGCGTCCAGACAGCTCCAAGACGTCTCCACATGAGTCTCCAGGCGAACCCCAAAGAGGCCCAAGGCTGGCGCAATAGGGCCCGGAGATGGCGCAAATCGGCCCAGGGAGTGGGGCCCAAGAGTTGACAAATGTAGGAAACTCATGGAAAAAACAAGGTTTTTGGTGTTCTGGTCTTGTCGCTTCCGATTGGCTCTTGAGGCGTCGAGACAGCTCCAAGACGTCTCCAACTGAGTCTCCTGACGAGCCTCAAAGAGGCCCAAGGCTGGCGCAACAGGGCCCGGAGAGTCGGAAAAGCAACAAAAAACGCTGTAGAAAAGCAATGCTTTCGGCCTTCTCGCTTTTTCACTTCCGGTTGACTCGGGGGGCGTCCAGACCCAGGACGGCCACAGGGAGGCGCAAGACAGGCCCGAGGATTCGAAAGTCTTTTGGGGGGAGGGCGGGGGGGGTGGGGCGCTCCCCGGCCTTACAGGGCCCGGAGAGGGGGGCCCAGAGATGGACAAATGTAGGAAACTCATGGGAAAACAAGGTTTTTGTCTTCTCGCCTTGTCGCTTCCGATTGGCTCTTGAGGTGTCCAGATACCTCCAAGACGGCTCCAGATGAGGTCCCTGACGAGCCCCAAAGAGGCCCAAGGCTGGCGCAAAAGGGCCCGAAGAGTGGGAACGGCACAGAAAACGCAGTAAAAAACAATGTTTTCGGCCTTCTCGATTGTACAGTTCCGCTTGACTCCGGGGGCGTCGAGACGACCCCAGGATGCCCACAGCAAGGCGCAAGACAGGCCCGAGGAGGCGAAATTCGTTTGAGGGGGGGTGCGCTGGGGTGTGGGCTCCCCGGCCTTGCAAAACTATATAATAGGAATATCTAGCAAGACATACCGATAGTCAGAAAGACAAGCGTATGAAGACGGGCTGACAGAAACACAGGCAGACAAAAGAGACGGATGGACAGAAGTTCACAGACGCACAGTCGCGCACGGACGTAGGCACCCCCATAGACAGAGACAGTGATGAACCTCGCCTCCTGTGGCTGACGAGAAGGATGTCCCCTAGGTGAGTTCCCTTCTCCTTCCCTCCCTCTCCTTCTCCCCCCATCCTCCTCCTCCTCTTCCGCCTCCGCCTCCTCCTCGTCCTCGTCCTCGTCCTCCTCCTCCTCGTCCTCCTCCTCCTTTTCTTCCTTCTTCTCGTCCTTTTCCTCCTCCTCCTCCTCCTCCTCCTCCTCCTCCTCCTCCTCCTCCTCCTCTTCCTCTTCCTCTCCTCTTCCTCTCCTCCCTCCTTCCTCCTCTCCTCCTCCTCCTCCTCCTCCTCCTCCTCCTCCTCCTCTCCTCCTCCCCCTCCTGCTCATCCTCCTGCTGCTCCTGCTCCTCCTCCTCCTCCTCCTCCTCCTCCTCCTTCCTCCATCTCCTCTCTTCCCTCCTCCTCCTCCTCCTCCTCCTCGTCCTCCTCCTCCTCCTCCTCCTCCCTCTCCTCTTGCTGCTGTTTCTCCTCCTCCTCCTCCACCTCCTCCTTCTCCTCGTGCCAAGAGAGGAGAGGACAGAGGCGGGCCAGCAGGCAGAAACAGGGGGCGAGACTGCACGTCCGATCCCTCTGGCGTTGGCGCTGGGCCCGCCGACCCTGCCGGGCGAGCGGGCCAGCGCGGCCTGGCGCCGCTCTGGACAATCTCCGCGACAACCTTCGGAGTCTACAACTGACACCCCCAATTAATTAAGCACCGCGCCCCCCAGCACGCAGACGGGGACGAGGAACGGACCAGACGGAGGACGGGGACGGGCGAGAGGAGCGAGAGAGGCCACGGAGCCAGGAGAAACAGGAGAGCACGAGAAGGGAGGGACGAGGGACACAGGACGAGGGGGAGGGGGAGCAGGCAAGCAGCGCAGAGAGCAGAGGGGGGGGCGCAAGGGGAGGAGTTAATTAATTAACACTGCCTGAGGGGAAGGAGAAAGAGGCGGGAGAGGAGCGGAAGAGAAGGCGAGGCTCAGCTCACCAGCGGGCCCGGCCGCGGCCCAGCCCTTGGGCGGGGGACGGCCAGGGCCTCGCACGCGCCCCGGCGCTGCTGAGCAGCATCGCCGCAGTGCCACGCGCGACGGCCACGACCACGCGCTGCCTCGCGTCGGCGAGGGCAGCGGCCCTGGCCCTCCTCCTCCTCCGCCTCCTCCTCCTCCTCCTCCATCTCCTCCTCGTCTCCTCCTCCTCCTCCTCCTCCTCCTCCTCCCCATCTCCTCCTCCTCCTCCTCCTCCTCCTCCTCCTCCTCCTCCTCCTCCTCCTCCTCCCCCTCCTTCGATCCCATTTTGACGTTCGGCCAGTTTCTGCGCCCTCCGTTGCCCTCGCCTCCTTCGCGCCTCCCGTTGCCCCCCTGGCGCGCGGCGCCAGCGCCCTCCTGCGCGGCGTGCCAAGGACCTGTCCGACTCGACGGGCTCCGCGATCCGGGCGACCGGCTGCCAGCGCCAACGCTGCCACCGCCGCCGCCGCCGCCACCAGCCCGGAGAATCGACGCTCCCATCACATTTGGGCGTTGCGTAATGGGGGGGTCATAAATGGGGGGGCGGCGAGGGTGGTCCGAAAAGGTACCCAAACGGTACCTAAACGAGCCCCCTGGGGCTCCAGAGGGGCCCGAAAGGGGCACGAAAGGGGACCGTTTCTGACCCCCCCATTTGTGACCCCCCCATTAAGCCACGCCCAACACCTTGGAGCGGCGCGTTTTTGGCTGTCTTCGGCTTCCGGGAACCCTCGCCGGGCCTCGGGACCGTCAACAAAACGACGCAGGACGAAAATCGGCCCCAGGGAAGTGGTGCGGACCTCTGGGGTCCACGCATCGAAGAAATTGGAGCGGCCAGATGTCTGGGACTTCTACACCCATCAGAACTGTTGAAGAACAAACACCAACTTCAGCTTTCATGGACTCCAGAGTTCGCTAAAGAAATCACGAGTTATAGTTATAAGTGGAGCCTGGGCGTTTCCCAGGAGCATGTTATTTGTGTCTGTATAATGATGGTGTATCTGGACCTGTACTACTGCGCAAGAAAACGCTTGGAGTGACACCGATTGTCTTTAAAATTTTCTTAACTTTAAGTAGGGGTGTAGCTCGTCCTCCTCCTCGGCTCTTCGACGTCGTCTTTGTCCTCCTTCCCCTCCTCTTTCTCCTCCCCCTCTTCCTCCTCTTCCTCCTCCTCCCCTTTGCTCCTCCTCCACCTCCTCCTCCTCGTCACACCACCAGGTGTTCTGGCTGGGCGGTCGGGGCGTCTCGCCCGAGACCTCACCGCTTGTGCCATTGAGGCTTGAAAAGCTGTAACAGGCCGCGGATGCAGGGCGGGCTGTTTTCAAGATGTTTTTGTTTGTCCGTTTTGTTGTGTTAACTTTTTTCTGCCAGCGCCGCACACCTTCGTCTTGAGAGCACCCCGCAGTTCCACGGATGGAGTGCGGTTCCTTTTCTCCAGATCGGTGCCTTCGCGTGACACCTCGGGTCTCAGGGCCGCGTGCTTCAAGCTGGGCAGCAGCTGTCCTGGCGAAGGGCGGCCGTGTGAGAGTGGAAGAAGTATCGCGATGGAGTTGCGGCTCCTTTTCAAAACGAGGCTCTCGCGTGACACTTCAGCTTCTGCGGCCATCCAGTGTAGGGTGGGGATCAGATGTTCTGGCGGGGGATTGCAACAAAAAACCAAGGATTGCAAAAAAAACCAAACGAAGGATTGCAAAAAACGAAGGATTGCAAAAAAACCCGTTTGCAATCCAGGTTTTTTTTTGCAATCCAGGGTTTTTTTTGCAATCCTTCGTTCAAGGGTTTTTTTGCAATCCTTCATCACAGCCAGACGATTCGGTTTCTTCTGCAAGGGCCACACGGGTGGAGTGTGGTGCCTTTTCACATGGGGCCCTCGCGAGGCACTGCACATCTTCTGCCATACGGTCGGGGCGCTGAAGGAGGAACTCTTTCCGTTGGGTAGGGGCTCCGTGTTCCTCAATGGTTTCACAGTTTGTCCCCCGTTTTCCCTAGGTTTTCGAAGGGAAATCGGAGTTCAACTTCTGGAGAAAAGGGGCCTCGTTCCTTATTCAGGTTTCCTTAGGTCAGCGCCCCGACTGCAAACTCAGCAGTGAGATGTGGAATGCCAGGGTAGGGGGCGACGAGTCGCCGGCGCAGGGAGCGACGATTCGCCCTTGGCGCGCGCGGGGGCGTTCTGTGATGACCCCGCGTATGTGTTGGCGCACGCGCGGCCGTGATTCGCGCGGGCACGCTGCATCGAAGTCGTCGTCACCATCGCGCTCCTCATGTCAGGGTGTGTGTGTGTGTGTGTGTGTGTCACGCAAACGCCGTGCGCTGGTTGTTGTTGTCGTGGTGCACCTGCCAACTGCAGCGACCATGCGGTTGTGGTGCACGCAGGCGGGTTGTCTCGAACTGGTCGTCGTCGTCGTTGTCGTCGTCGTGGTCGTCGCCCTTGTCTTCATTATCGTCGTCGTCGTCGTCGTCGTCGTCGTCGTCGTCGTCGTCGTCGTCGTCGTGTTCGTCGTCCTTGTCGTCCTCGTCGTCGTTTCTGTTTTCGCGCCAGCGCAACGGATGGTAGAATGCCCCCTTGGCGCTTTGAGGAGCAATGGCATGTTCGATTCGCAAATTTCAGATTCACAGAGGAACCCGCATTCGCGTACAGCTATACTGGCGGAGGATGATACTCGCGCGCGCGCGCGTGAAATTTTGAACGCCAGGTCAGAACAGAAGAAGATGACGTTGCAACCGTTGTGCGGATGGGATGCGGTTCTTTTGCAGAAAACGGCTCCCGCTGGGCGTTGCTTTCACACTGATGGTCCTGCCCCGTTCGATTTTTCGCAGCTCGAAAAATGGAGGGTGGCTACTTTTCAAATGGCAGGCCCAGGGGGTACTCGGCTCTCAGAATGGGCGGTTTCGTTGTTTGCTCGTTAGAAGGACTGCTCGTGGGGATCGTCGACGAGGCAATTTCGGGCGGGATGATGTATTGCATCGCTGTTGGTACATCCATGTGTTTACACTGGTCCTCCTCCTCCTCCTCCGCCTCCTCCCTTTTTTCCTCCTCCTCCTCTTATTTTCCTCCCTTTTTTCCTCCTCCTCCCTTTTTCCCTGTCCTCGTCCTCCCTTTTTTCCTCTTCCTCCCTTTTTTTCCTCTCCCTCCCTTTTTTCCTCTCCCTCCTCCCTTTTCTTGTCCTCCTCCTCCTCCTTTCCTCCTCCTCCTCCTCCTCCTCCTCCTCCTCCTCCTCCTCCCTTCTTTTGTCCTCCTCCTCCTCCTCCTCCTCCTCCTCTTATTCCTCCTTTTCCTCCCTCCTCTAAACTTCCTCCTCCCACGCTGACTCCCCGCGGCAGGTGAGCGGGGCGCACACCTCCCCGCGCATCGCGCGCTGCTCCGTGCACGGATGCCACGACGCCGGCGTCGTCTTCCAGGAGGGCGTCCGCCCGCGGAGGGGGAGGAGGAGGAGGAGGGGGAGGGGGAGGGGGAGGGGGAGGGGGAGGAGGAGGAGGAGGAAGGAGGAGGGGGAGGAGGAGGAGAAGGAGGAGGGGGAGGGGGAGGAAGAGGGGGAGGAGGGGGAGGAGGAGGAGGAGGGTCGTAACGAGGACATGGGGTAACGAGGCGGTTGCGCAATATGGTAAGGAAGAGGGGGGTGGGGTTAGCGCCTTCGCGTCGACGATGATGATGCTGATAATGATGATGATGATGATGATGATGATGATGATGATGATGATGATGATGATGATGATGATGATGAGGATGATGATGATGATGATGATGATGATGATGATGATGATGATGATGAGGATGATGATGATGAGGATGATGATGATGATGATGATGAGGATGATGATGATAGTGGTGGTGGTGATGATGGTGGTGCTCATGTTGATGATGATGATGATGCCGATGATGATGACAGTGATAGCGATGATGATGCAAATGTAGATGAGGACGGTGATGCTGCTGATGATGAAGACGTGCACGACGATGCTGCTGATTATGGTGATAACGGTGGTGGTGGTGGTGATGATGATGCTGATGATGATCATGTTGCTGGGGTTGGTGATGAGGATGATGCAGCTGCTGCTGATGATGGTGGCCATGCTAATGATGATGCTGATGATGATGCTGATGATGATATTGTTGATGATGATGACAATGCCGATGATGATGATGCTGCTGCTGATGATGATGATGATGATGTTGATGCTGCCAGGCATGATACCGAGGATGAAGATTTTGCTACTATTGGCGATGCTGGTGACGCGGATGCTGATGCTGATGATGATGCTGATGCTGAAGATATGCTGTTGCTGGTGATGTTGCTGAAGCAGTTACCGCTGATGGTGTTGCTGTGCATGCTGATCATAATGCTGCTGTTGGCGATTGACTCTAATGGAGGACGGAGATGTTGATAACGATGGTGGTGGGGATGATGGTGCTGCTGCTGATGATGATCATGATGATCATGGTGGTGATGATGGTGATGATGATGATTCTGCTGTTGATACTGATGTTGCTGATGATGCTCATGATGCTGCTGATGATGATGCTGATGATTATGAGGATGATGATGATGATGATGATGATGATGATGCTGTTGATGACTGTGATGATGTCGATGGCGATAACGATGGTGATGACGTTGGTGATTCTGACAATGGTGCCACTGGCAATTATGGTGATGCGACGATGACAATGACGATGCTGATGATGATGATGATGCTGATCATAATGACGATGATGATCAGATTGATAGTGATGACGGCTACAGGGATGATGACGATCATGATGATGATGCTGCTCATGAGCCTCGTGATGCTGATGAATGATGCTGATGATACTGCCGATGTTGATGATGATACCGAAACTGATGCTGATGATGATGCTGATGATGAAGCTGCTGCTGGTGATGGTGATGTTGTTGATGCTGCTGATGGTGATGATTATGGTGATGATGATGATCACGATGATGAAGAAGATGATGATGATGCTGATGATGATGACGACGATGACGATGACGACGATGTTGATAGCGATGGTGCCGATGGTGGTGGTGACGATGACGATGATGTGCCTGGCGATTCAGGATGAGGAGGAAGGAGGACGGGGAAGAAGAGACGGAGGAGGACAGAGAGGAGGAAGAGGACGGGGGTAGAGATTACGTAGAATGCGGAAGAGGATAGGTGTGGAGGAGGAAGATGAGAAGGCGGAGGAGGAGGAGGAGAAGTATGAGGAGGAGGAGGAGAAGTAGGAGGAGGAGATACAAGAATATGACGACAAAGGGAGGAGGAGGGTGAAGAGGAGTAGGAGGAGGGAGGAGATGATGATCGAGGAAGAGGCGGGATGAGGAAGTGGTTGGATGGATGGAGGGATGAATGGATGATGGATCAATGTGATGGTGATGGTGATGGTGATGGTGATGGTGAA